CGAGCGGAAGGATGAAGAAGAAGGGGAACCAGCACAGGAGGAACACGCCAACGACGATCCCCAAGGTCTTGGCGGCCTTCTTCTGCCTGCGGAACTTGGCCATCTTGCCCGGCGGCCCCGGCAGACGTCGCTCCGGAGACGACGACGGCGACTCCGGCTCGTGGTGGCTGCCCTTGCCCTTCTTGCCCCCCTTGCCGCCCTCCGCCCCCGCGCCCTGCTCCTCCTGCCAGTCTATAGTAGTCACAGGCAGTTGCAGGTGCGGCGTCGGGGGCATGAGGCTGGTGATGCCCTTCCCGCGGTGCATCCTGAGCCCCGACTTCTCCTCTTCCTTCGTGGGCGACTTCGACTGTCCATTGGCCATGCAGTGGCCGTTGAGGCCCCCGACGCCTGTGGCGAGGCCAGCGGCCATGCCAGCGGCGATGCCCACGCCCATGCCCCCGCGATGCGCCCGCAGCGTGAGCTTGCCGTCGGAGCGGCCGGCGCCCCCCTTGTGCACCCTGAGCGTGACGGACGTCTTCGTGGTCTTGATGCCGCTCTCCAGGAACTTGGACTGCTGGATGGCGGCGCGGTAGATGCGCCAGTACACGACGATGATGCAGACGCTGGGCAGGTAGAAGGAGCCCGTGACGGAGAAGAGCACGTAGCCCAGCTCCTGGTTGACGGTGCACACGGTGGGGTCGGGGTCCGGGGGCGTCTTCCAGCCGAAGGCGGGGCCGATGGAGATCACGATGGACAGCGCCCACACGGCGGCGATTAGCACGCACATCCGGCGCTCCGTCATGATGGTCGGGTACGCCATCGGCCGCGTGACACCGATGTAGCGGTCGAGCGAGATGACGCACAGGGACCAGATGGAGGCGGTGCAGCAGAGCACGTCGGCGGTCGCCCACACCTCGCAGAACACCTGCCCGAAGTACCACTTGCCGGAGACCTCCAGGGTGGCGCTGAAGGGCAGGACGGTCGTGCCCAACAGGAGGTCCGCCACCGCCAGATTCACGATCAGGTAGTGCGTGGAGGAGCGCAGGTTGCGGGACATGTAGACGGCCAGCAACACCAGCATGTTGCCGCCGATGGTGAGCACCACGATGCTCGCCAGCACCACTGTCTTGAGCGCCGCCTCCACCAGGGCATTGGTGGCGCCCTCGGCTCCCACGCCCTCCAGGCCCTCGTCCGCAGGGGATGAAGAGGAGGGGGAGGGAGAGGACGAAGAGGAGGGAGAAGGCGTAGAAAAGGTGATGTTGCTTGTGATGTTGATCTCGGGCAGGCTCTGGTAGTCGTCGTAGTCGTAGAAGTCATCCTCGTCGTCCAAGATCCAGGACGTGTTGAGGAACCTGAGAGTGGTCGGGCCCTGGAACCAGTAGGTCACGTTGGCAGGGGACATCGCTCCGTCCGCTCTCGCCCGCCGCGCCCCTGCCTCCCGTGTATCGCGAGGAACGAAAGAAGAAAAAAAAAGCACAAATAACGAGAATATCCGAGGGCGTCCGACAAACAGTCCTTTGGGCTCTGGGTCACGGAGCGCGTCGGAAAACCTGCATAACGGAGCCTCGCAAACAAGACAAGTGTTTTCTCTCTCTCTTTTCTTTTCCTAAGAAGTCCGACACGACACGAGATCCGGAACAATTAGGTGGAAAGGCCGACAGCCCGCCATGGCTCACTGCTGCAAACACGGCCGTCAGCCCAGTCGCTCGTGCAGGTACTCACGCCGACGGGAGACAAAGTCCTTGCTCTTCATACGCAACTGCTCAAACACGCCGAAGGATATTGTTTATCCTCGGTCAACATCCGGGGGAGGCGAGGGAGGAGGGGGAGGGGGAGGAGGAGGGGGAGGGGCAGGAGGAGGAGAGGGAGAGGCAGGCCCAAAGGGCAACTGGAAGTGAGAATTGTCCAACGAAGGAAAAGGAATCAGACCACCTCTCAGCGATCATAAGTGACGTCATGGTGATCGGAACTCATAATGTGGAGGGACAGTTCGAACCACTTATGAACGGTCGTCGTCGCTGTCGTTGCAGTTATCGTTACTTTTACTGTCATTATCTGTTTTCATTTCGAATTCTGCATATCCAATATAATTATGAAAAATAGAGTATCCTCAGAGAATTATCAACTTTTTTCAGAATAAACCTGGAATGGCCTGTTCTTCCAGTGAAGGTCACCGCAAGTTGATTGATAAAACGTATTTACTCGTGATGAATGGTCAACTTACATCACACATATTGTTAACAATGAATTCCTCTTTGAACATTATGATAACTATGAAGTAAATCAACTTCTGATATATGTTGTTTTTTCATGTAATATAGAAGCACCTCTTTCACATCACCTCAGCTTATTTTCATATATTCTCAAGTTTTGAAAATTAGTACAGATGTCGAGAGATTAAAGATCTGCAACAAAAATAAGCTCATCGCACAGGGCACTGCTCGGCCAAATGTTTTCCAAAAAGGTAACCAAGATGCACCCCAGCCAAAATAAAAACAAAAAAACAAATGACTGTCAGATG